TCTGCCATAAAATTCTGGGCTCTGGCAGAATTTCCTGCACAGTTCCCAGGGAGGGAAAAGGGGTGAGAGAGAAATGGAGAACAAATGAAAAGGACACCCGGACTTGCAGTGGTTTGTTTTGTTTGCATGCTATGTCTCCTGAGAGGCCTCATAGAGAAGCAGTTCTGCCAGGAGGGTGCAGAGCCCCCATGAGGCCAGAGTAGCACAGCCAGCTGTTTGTCAGTCAGCCAGTAGCAAGGCCAGCAAGCAGGGCAGGTGAAGGCCAGGGCGCTAGGAGAACTTGGTTCGTGGTGGGATGGAGAGGGTGGGTCCGGTGGGCTTGCTGCCTCCTGCATCTAAAAAATAATAAGACCTCCCCAAAAATAAGGCCAAGCCCTTATTTTGGGGGTCAAAAGAAAATAAGACCTGTCTTATTTTCAAGGAAACATGGTAGACACAACACGGTAGTTTTCTCATGAGAACCAGCGGTGTTAGCGCCAGAGGCGGCATTGGCAGCATGTAAGCATGGCAGAGCACCAGTGGTGATGGCGGCATGGAAGCCCTCGCCAAGTAGTGATGTCACAGAAAAGCCACTACCCCGCAAATATCAGCACGAGGGCTGACAATTGTAGTGCGAGATGAGTAGTGCAAGATCTTGTGCTACTGATCTCGTGTGATCTATAGCATTATAGTACCGCATGAACTGTAGGGCATCAGTGCTTGTGTGCTGCTGAGGAGGGCGTCTAGGGGTCGAACAGATTGCAATGGGGTGGGGGGTGAAAATGGGAAGCTGCCACGGGCAATGGACAGACAGCAGTGGGCAGGGGCTTCCCATTTTGACCTATCTCCACTGCCATTGCCTCTGCTTCTGGACTCCAGCCTAAAACAAAATGGATAGTTTGGCTGCCACCTTACCATGTCCCAGCACCGTTTCACTCCACTGCAGGACCCTACCCAGCTGTGCGCAAGCACTGATGCTCTGCTACCCCCCAGGCTTTGGTGTTCACCCTCCCAGCCTTGTCTGGCCCATCACAGGTGTCCTTTGATATGAGCAATGTCGAGTGGGCCATGCCCACCTAGTCATGCTCACCCTGCCACACCCATCTGGCCCTTTGAGGGTGACCATAATGCTGATCCAGCCTTCAATGAAATTGAGTTTGACACTCTTGACTTAAAGGAACAGAACCAAAAATTTGTAGATCAGATAATTTCTTAAGGGAAGTGTGTTGACTTCTAGGTATAAAAATTAAAAACGTGACTGAGAGGCTCATTAATAGAAAAGAAGTGATAGAGGGGATTGAAGTTGCAAGAATTTTGGGAGGGAGTAACCATGTTATATGAGAAGTTAATACAATAAAGATTCAAGCAACAGAACATAAATAAACCAGTGTCTTAGACTTTAAAAGAGCTGATTTTGACAAACTCAGAAGAAAGCTTGGGAAGGATACCATGGATAAAGATCTTAAAGGGGAACTCAACTCAAGAAACTTGGGAAACTCAATACAATTATAAAAGCCCAGTCCAGCTCAATACTAAAAGTCATTTGATGTGACATACAACTCTTGTTTTAATAGGCTGAGGGGTAATTAGTCCATGAATCCTAAATATGAATAATTAACATACATTTCATGCTTTTAAGATCATAATACTAATAGGATTGTGCTTGGCTAATTAATACTTGGTTAATCTTTGCAGTCTTTTAAAATATTTTTAATCCAATCTTTATTGCTTTTATAAATAACTCAAGTCAGCAAACATACCTAATACTCCTTATCTAACAACATGAAATTCAATGGTGAAAAAAGTAAGGTTCTACATTTAGGCAAGAAAAACAAAATGCACAGGTATAGTATATGTGGTACATCGCTCAATAGTAGTAACTGTGAGAGGGATATTGGAGTCCTAATGGACATTCATTTAAATATGAGCCAGCAGTGTGCAGCAGCTGCCAAAAAAGCCAACAAAGGTCTAGGCTGTATAAACAGAGGGATAGAATCAAGATAATGTAAAGTGTTAATAACATTTTATAATGCCTTGGTAAGGCCACACCTGGAATAATGCATTCAGTTTTGGTCACCTCAATATAAAAAGATGTTGAGACTCTAGAAAGAGTGCAGAGAAGAGCAACATAGTTGATTAGAAGACTGGAGGCTATCGGAGAAAAATAAATCTGCATACTGTTTGCATTATTTTCAATGAAGTGTACCATGTATAAATAAAATGTTCCCGAAAGGAAAAATAAATTACAAAAAGCATGCCTTTATGGGAAAGCTTGTCAAGTACAAAAGCATATAAAATCTGGATTTCTAGATTAAGTGAGCTTTATATCTATAGATACCCAAATCAAAATGAACAACTGGAAAGTAGGTAACATTACATTTTCTGTACCTAACAATTTCTTGCTGTCCAATTTCTGTCTGTTCAAAGGGTTGGTACCATAAATCAGCGTGTGTGCTTCTGAATGCACAGTCTGTAATTCTTCTAGAGTTGCTTTTCTTCCACGGATACACTACAGGAGAAAAGGAAGCAGTGAAATTCCATTTCCCTTGACGAAAAAGCAGCATCCCAAATAGGAAAAAATATAAATAAAGGTCTACACAAATGCCACTGACCAAAGAGATTACATTAGAAATGCAATGACTTCACAAAACTTCTCTATTTTAATTCTGAAATTTTGAACAATTGTATGCAAAATAAAGAATTTTAGGATGCTTGCTGTTTCAGAGACAGAAAAACAAGAATATTCTTACCACAAATTTTTGTTCTAGGAACCTCGTGGAGTGAGGTGGACATTTTTTTGACTTAGAGATAATACTTCTGGTACTTATAAGGCAAGACCACCTCTGTCAGGAGGAGGAAATGCCCATATTGCCCACATCAGAATGAACAAATGGCTATTAATCTTCATGCCTTCCTAACCCCTTCTAGAGGTTTCTAGAAGAGAAATTATAGAAAATGTACATTTTTTTCCAAAATTTCTAAAAAAGACATAATAGACATAATAGACAAATTAAGGGTGGAAGAACACGATCGGGGACTTTAATCCCAGAATTTCTAAAGAATCTTCTGGACAAAAGCTGTAAGAAGAAAATGCATGGTCAGCTTTATGATATTTGCTGAATGCATAAATGGAAGACACCTTACAGATGTCTAGATTCCCACTCTCCATATGTGAATGAATGAAAGCTATTTCCTATCACCTAATATACCAAGGAAAAACAATCTTTAATCCAAATGAAAGACCAGTTATACCACCTGTGATGTTTTTATACACTTGCTTTCAGACAGAAGTTGGCAGAAATATTTATGCGAATTGTATTATCTGAAATAAACTGCACCAAGAGTACAGTGAGGAAGGAAGGAGGTGGCATTGTACAGCACTTTATTGCAACTAAGAGAAAAGGGAGCTTCTTAGCCTTTATGAAATACTACTTTATATGGTTATCATATAAAATACACAATTCAGAATTTCAGTGTAACATTACGTTTAAATGCGTGCACCTTGTTTCAAAGTGACAGACATAAGATAGAAGTTAAATAGCACCGCCATTAGGATTGAACTTACCTGAACATGTGTCCTGTGGCACTATCTTTGGTGCACTGTTAAACTTCTTGATTTTTAACAAAAATGTTTGATAAAAACAGTCAAAGTCAAACCATGAATGTTAGAAGGCCCAATTTGGAAGACCCCATTTATATCAGCCCTTTCAATCTGTGCTCAGCCTGATTTGGGTACAGAATTAGCTAAGGGGTATATCAGGGGTGTAAAACTCAAGGGCTGGGGGCTGGATCCAGCCTGTGGGGTACTTAGATCTCACAGGACAACCCTGGAAACAGCAAAGGACCGGCTCAAGATTGATTGATCAATAAATAAAATCAATAAGGAAGATCATATTAGGAAGAAAACCTTAAAGATGTAGTAGCCATCTGGAACTTCTTGAAAGGGGAATTGAAATCTAGTGCAGTCACAAACAATGTTAAAAAAAAATATAAGGGACCCAATATCACTGAATAGGGAGCTTGTTAAGGAGCTGAAATAAAGAAATCTATTTATTGGAACTGGAAGGAAGGGACAATTTGACCAGCATTCTGGTCCCAACTTATTTATGAATTATAAGTCATAAACCTGGCTTGGCCACTCACTGACAGCCAGTGAATTTGCATGTGAGTAGCCAGTTGACCCACAGCAATCTATTAGTTACATTCTGTAAATGGCTACACCTTCCAGAACAAATGTTAAAAATAGCCCCACTTAAAGATAATCTAAATGTGAAGTAACCATGGCATGAAATATAGAGAGGCTGTTAACTTTTTCTGTAGGAAACAGTGTAGTTACTATACCAGCTAAAGATGACAACAGATATTCCTAGCCATCATGTGATCCTACAGTGGCAAAACTACATACAAATGTATGTTGTGGGACACCATAGCATAGCTGCCAGGTTGTACACCACAGCCATCAAGACTAAGACTTCTAAGACTATCCTTAAAATAGAACTGGAAATATTTTAACCAAGTGCTTCCAATCCTCACCTACCTCAAAATACCATGATTAAAATCTATTGTGAAATCAAGGTTCAACAAAGTCATATACCCCTATCTGTTCTGCAAGTGTTCATCTACACCAGGGGTGTTAAACTCAATTTCATTGAGGGCCACATCAGGGTTGTGTTTGACCTCCAGGGGCCGGAGTGGGCATGGCCAGCTCGACATCCAGTGCCTGTGGTGGCCTGAGCGCTCTGCCAGCAAAAATGGGCTTCCAAGCTCCATTTTCAGCTGTGAAAACAGAGTGGGGGGGGGGATGTGGTCCTAGCGAGCTCCATTTTCACTGGCAGAAACACCACAAGCCGGTCCTTTGCTGTTTCCAGGGTTGCCCTGTGAGATCTAAGTACCCCACAGGCTGGATCCAGCCCCCGGCCCTTGAATTTTACACCCCTGATATACCCCATAGCTAATTCTGTACCCAAATCAGGCTGAGCACAGATTGAAAGGGCTGATATAAATGGTGTCTTCCAAATACATATAAAGCTGCATAATTATCACCCTCTCAAGAACCCATACCAAATAAACTACCCAGTAGTTTATTTAGTTGACAAAGTCCTCTGGATCCAGGGAAGACACCCCTCCCAGCTGGTTCCAATGAGCCAGATTAGGAGGGGTCAAGGGAGCATATAATATGGTAGACAACCATAAGCATCTTGCCTATATTCAGGACTCATAAACTAAAAGTGATTTTATCTAATTGAACCACAACACTTACTGAATAACTCAGCAAATATTACACCAAAAGAAGTCTTCAAGTTGGCATGAAACTAAATTTAGTTTTCTGCATTTCCTCACTGTCAACAAATTCACTGGCAGTGACTTCTGGAAAACGGAATTTTCAAAAGGCAGAAATTTAATAAATGAATTATTGAGATATAATACCAAATCAACCATGGAATTTGTAATTGGGAGAGGTATAGGTTTTCTTTTCACTGCCTGTATTCCTATGGAGGGTGAGATGAATCAAATGGCACAGATGCTTTAATCTGTGCCATGCATGAGTAGGAGTTGGCAACCTATGGCCTAACACCCAGTATCATCCATGGTCCCAAAATAAATATATTATTTATATATAGTCCGTGCAAGGCAGAGTGCTTATTGTCTTCTCAGCAGTCATTTTGTCAATGGCTTAATCAGTCATCTCAGTGTGGGAAGAGCAGCAAGTCTCCCAAAAAAGTAGCAGTATAGATTCTGCACCATATGTTGAAGAAGGTTGCCAACCCCTAGCCTAAATTGTTTCTTTCAAGTCTAGGATTTGAATCACAGAATAAAAGATTTTAAAATATACCTGGAATAACAGAAAACATGTCTTCTCTTTCTTTAATAATTTACATGTAAAACAATTACGGTCAGCAGTGATGTAGTTCAGAAATTTCTGTTGTAACATCTAGAGATTAAGCTGCCAAAGCCACTGCCCCTCCATTCTATTAGTTCATCTATTACCTCACACTTGCTACGAAGACCTGTTTCCTGAAGACGGGACCAAATGCTTTGGATTCTCCCTGCATGTTCTGGATGACTGTTTGTGTTTCCACAAACGCACTGGTGTTTCAGCATCAAGGTGTCATATACAAGGCCTGCATCAAAGGATATGAATAAATTCAGGCTTCTTCTACTGACAAGGTGAACAAATACCCCAAATGACCTTATTTCTCTATAAAGTTGCATAAGGCTATGTTATTTATTCATTATATATGCATATGGAAAAGTATAATTTGAAATAGCAAATTTCAAAATAAAAATGTAAACACAGTTTTACTAACAGTGCTAAGTGAAAATAAAAAGTTCTAACTTTTTAGAGTCCAATTTATTTTATTTCCATCAATTCCAGAACTTCCCTGACATTTAAACAAGAAAGTAGCAATAGTAATACTATTGCTACTATTGGTATTACTTTATACTTATATAGTGCTTTACAGCCCTTACTAAGTGGTTTACGGAGTCACCTACAAAGCCCTGCATGGTATTGGATCTGGGTACTTGAGAGACCGCCTACTGCCAATTACCTCC